TAAATAATGAAAATATATTATCTGTTGTTTATTACTTATTTCTAGCCTAGTTATATAATTTATCCACTACATGTCTGTTTCCCTACAGGACTGAGCACTTTTAAAGAAGGTACCATTGTTTACTTTCTTGATATTGCCCATGCTGACACTGCCTGGTAGTGTTTATTATGTGAATGAATGAATAATAAAGTTCACTATGATGGTCAACAATCATTGAAGGCACAGTTATTTTTGTGATCTATTTGTGGTTATTAATTAATGATGACCCACCAACCATGTGACTCATAGCCCAATGCTTATCCCACAGCATCACCATGGCTCCTTATAAATAAGGCTAATCTATTTTCTTAAATATGGTCTAGGTAATGGCCGTCCTTATTTGGTGTGTCCAGCTGCCAGCTTGGAACTGTTTTCTCTTGCATCCCAAAGAAGTCCTATCAGTTTCCTCCATGCCACCTCCTATGAACTAAGCTAGACAGGCCAATCAAAAGCCTCCCTTAGGAAATTTCAGATTGAAACTCAGAGAAGACAGACCTTTCTGCTTTGTTGGTAGGAGGCTGATTTCTAAGAGAGAAGTATGAAGTAGACATAGAGAAGCACAAATGTGCCTGAATTCTGTTTACTTTTCAGTCCTTGTACTTCCCACAATTTGGTTGGTAGAATTAATAAATTCTCCCTTTTGCACAGCTAGTCAGAGATGAGCTTCTATTTGCAACCCAACAGCCCTAATGAATACAATCAGAATGATGAAGCTTCATCTGTAATTTAACTTCAGATGTTCTTTGTATACATTTTCAAAATTAAGTACTTTCAAATCATAACATGCAAATTGGTATCTTATTGTTTGTATCACTTATGTTCAAATCCCACATCAGATTTTATCATCTTTCTGCTTTCAAGTGGGCAGTATTTTGATTCACCAGGATTTGTGAAAATTATGCTTTTCAATACAGAATTTTCTAATGAGGAGAAATTCTTCAGCATCCTCATCTTTTGTTCTCTCTCTATAAGTATTTTCTTGAAACCATTTTATAAACCATTTGTTACATAAAAGCATTTTTAGTACAAAAAAAGAAGAAAAGGAAAGAGACTTATCTAAAGTAATGTTTATTTACTTTTTTAGCTGCAGCATAGTTGTTCAAATAAAAGCACAAAGAACAAAAAGAATTAAGGCTGTTCTTTGTAAAGCAGGAAGGGAGTGGGGACAATGCACTGATCTGCATGCATGGGCCCCTGCTATATCCCTGCAGGGACCTCTGCGAAACCACTGTTTTCTATGAGAAAGAAGGCTCAGAATGTCTGGGAAACATTTATTTTAATCAAAAGAATACAATACGTTAAGTAGAGTATTTTGCTTTTCTCACTAAAGGGAGATGGATATACAGTAGAAAAAATAACTAATCCAAGATTGTCTTTCTCTCTGTACATAAAAGCGATGGTGGTCTTGGTCCCCCACTCTGATGCTTGTCACCAAGGCTTATAAACTGGGTTTTTCCACCTCCACCTAGACAGCTGCTCAGCAGGCACTAGCAGCTTGCACACTTACAGGTACTTTCTCTGAGGCCCAATATTTCCAACCAGAATCTTAAATCTCAAGGTGCTGCAAGTCATCTCAAGCCATTACTTTCATGCTATTCCTGTGCTCAGAAACCTACGATAGGCATCTAGGGCCCCCACCATGCTCTTCAGGAGTCCCTGAGAGGTGAAAATGGCTAAGCGCTTAGCTAATAACTGCAAGGTTTGTAGACAGAATTCACCCAGAAGTCTCTCAGAATAAAGGCCTGGCAATTTGTTTACGAATAGTTACAGCCATTGAAAAGCCTATGAAGCACAATTCTACAGGAGGGTCACCTTGAGTTGGAATGAACTCAATGGCAACTGGTGGCGGTGGTGGAGATGCTTCACTTGCCAGCTGCCTAATTCCTACTTCTCTCCAGCTTAGCAGCCAAGCCTGCTATTCGCCATGTCAGGAACTTGCCAGGCTCAGTTCAGCTGGCAGCACTCCCCAATCCAGCTAACTGCCCATCCTCAAGTCCTCACTCTTCCAGGAAGCCTCTTAAACTTCTACCCACCGGACATTGGCCCTCTTTAGTACTACACAATTAGCCATTATGCCTCTGGCAGTTCATTTCAAAGTACATTTATTTTGACTCTCCAACTGGAACATAGGATCTTGGATAACTTGGCCAAAACTTTAATCCCCCACAGCATTCCTATAGCATCCTTAGTGCCAAGCACATCTGTAAGCCTCAAAAGCAACGTGATCTGTTAAAGGTGATGGTTTGATTTGGGAATGGGTGAGCATGATGACTGAACTACATAATGAACATAATTCATGTCACTGATCTGTACATGTAAAAACTGTCGAAATGTCAATTTTTTGTGACATATATTTAAAGTAATGAAAGAAAAGGAGCTGTGAAAAATACTACTAGAGATGCTAAGTGATAGATCTTCACTGTCACAAAAAAAACAAAGTGAAATATCTCTGCTTGGTTGATATGATTTCTCTGATATCCAAAGATATAGCCTTTGTTGCTGTTAGGTGCCACTGAGCCGGTTCCAACTCATAGCAAACCTGTGTACAACAGAACGAAATAGCCCAATAGAGCAATAGCCCGGTCCTACACCCTCCTCACAACTCTTCTTCATGTTTGAGCCCATGGTTGGCAGCTACTGTGTCAATCCATCTCATCAAGAGTTTTCCTTTTTTCGCTGCCTCTCTACTTTAACTCGCGTGATATCCTTTTATAGTGACTGGTCTCTCCTGATAACATGTCCAAAGTATGTGAGATGATGTCTCTCCACCCATGGTTCTAAGGGAACATTCTGGTTGTACTTCTTCCAAGACAGACTTGTTCTTTTGGCAGTTCATGGTACTTTCCATATTCTTTGCCAGCACCGTAAGTTAAACACATCAATTCTTCAGTCTTCTTTATTCAATATCCAACTTTCACATGCATTTTGAAAATACCATGGCTTGGGTCAGGTGCACCTTAGTTCTCAAAGTAATCTCCTTCTTTTTCAAGTGGTGATGTGCAGCTGATTTACCTAATGCAATGTGTAGCCTTTACAATAATTTAATTACAACTAACCGAAAGGTAAAGTACTCAGCTATTAACAGGAAGTTCATTTCTCTATGACTTTAGCTTATGAACAAACTAACATAGCAGTCCTAATTTAGCTCATATATTAGTTATATGTATATAAAATTCTAATAAACAAGAATATTTACAAAGTTAGCACTCACTCACTGACACTGAGTCAATGCCAACTCATAGTGACCCCATAAGGACACGGTAAAACTCTATCTGTAAGTTTCTGAGACTTAACTATTTATGGGAGTAGAAAGACCAATCTTTCTCTGGAGGAGCAGCTGGTGGTTTTAAACTGCTTCCCTTGCAGTTAGCAGCCAAATACATAACCACTTTGTCACTAGGGTTCCTTTATAAAAACGATAGTATACCTAAAACAATACAAACATTTGAAAGTGGGAAAATTACTTGGACATGTGACTTAAAAGTTCCCTCTTATCTTTTTGAGCCTTAAAATAAGTAATGTGGGGCTGGCCCCAATCCTAACTGCGTGGACAGTTGCCCTTGCCCCCAGAAGAATTTATTTCAGAGGACAGCACTGAAGCTGCAGCTCAGGGAGAAGGACATGTTGGATCAGATCACAGGGGAGCAAATGAAGGGGGAGGAAGAGAGAGTGGAGCACTTCCTGGCCCACCAAGCCTTGTCGACCATATTCCCGCTCAGAGCAGCCAATCCACAGAGAAGACCATATGGCTGGCCCCACTATGAGACACAACATGCCTCACTGACCCATAGCCCTATAGGGGACAACACTGGAGACACAGTGTGGGAATTCTGCCTGATCTGATCCCACCACACCGAGGTAAAACACTAAGGGCATGCAAACAGAACAGCAAGGGGAACAGACCAGAGGATGTACACTGGCACAGATAGGAACTGGAAACACAGGGAATCCAGGACAGATGATCCCTTCAGGATCAGTGGTGAGAGTGACAATACCGGGAGGGTCGGGTAGAAAGGGGGAACTGATTACAAGGATCTACATATAACCTCCTTCCTGGGGGACAGACAACAGAAAAGTGGGTGAAGGGAGACGTCGGACAGTGTAGGATATGGCAAAATAATAATTTATAAATTATCAAGGGTTCATGAGGGGGGTGGGGAGGGAGGGGGAAAATGAGGAGCTGATACGAAGGGCTATGTGGAGAGCAAATGTTTTGAGAATGATGAGGGTAACGAATGTACAAATGTGCTTTATACAATGGATTGAAGTAGGGATTATGAAAAGAGTTGTATGAGCACCCAATAAAATGTTTAAAAAAATGAGTCATGTATGCTGTAATTTTTTTATCTTGATAATAAGAAAAGAAAACAAATTAAAGGGAAGCATCTAAGATATATTACTGGAATATCGCATTTCTATAAGAAGCCCTCTTACTTTTCAGGAGCCTAAATTGGCATAAATACTCAAATTAAAACAAATAAATAAATAAATAATACTCAAAGTCACTGTAAGTTACATTCACAAGAAAGAAAATACAGAGTAATTATTAAATGAACTGAAAAGGCAAGAATTTACAAAAAAAAATCACTGAATTATACACTTTAAAAAGTACATTGAATCTTACAGTGTATAAATTACATTGTAAATAAAAACCATAGTCTTTAATGATTTCCTGATCATAGAATAATTTAGAAAATATTAAAAAACTACTAATAAAATTAAAATAATCTTTGTTACTAATACCTTAGATATTACTAAACATGAAAACCACTTAATGTGATTTATATCTCTCTAGACATTTTTTCTGTGCACAGCTAAAGTAAGTGTGGTTTGAAAAAAATAACTGGGTTCTTACACTTAAAAAAAAAAGGCAAGAGTGTTGTCATGCTGAAATTGAATTATAGGATTTATTGGCACTCTACTTTCTGTATCCCTCATCCAAGATGAACTGGTTTACATACCTTTCACATTTGTCTTTTTCCCTTTTCTTCTTCTCTTCGAACTGTTCCAAGAGGCCCTTTGATTTCCCAGCTGACAAAGGAAGAGGAAATAAGCTTCCATCCTTTGTATCTCCTCCAAACAGCTTTGGTTTTGTCTGGTACTTTGTGAAAATACTAGGTTCACTCTGTTAAATGGGGAGGGGGGGGATCATTATAGTCTTTAACACAAAATACTTATAGCATTCACTACATTTCTGGACAATGAAGTCATATTCAATTGTAAAGCATACTGCTAAACAACATAGTAAGTAGTATGTATTTGTATTTGGTTTCATATATAGCAAAATATTCTATTTCAAATATACTCTTATTAATATAATTTGTCATCTAAGCTCAAGTATATTTAAGATATCAATAAAAATATAATTGAATCAAGTGCACAAATGTAAAGGGAAAACAACAGCGTATTACTTACGCAGTATTTAAGATGATGTGTCAGTTTTCCTTTTCAGCATTTTCCAAATGCTTTTATTCTGTTGTTGATGAATGAATGAGACTGACATGGGCTGGAGAGTGACATATTAGGCCACATCTAAAAGGCTCTGGGAGTTCATTTATTTATTTAAAGCACTGAGCACCATTTTCATAGTGGAATACTTATCTCCGAATATACCTTAACTAATTTAATACACTGAACTAATCTTATTAAGTACCTATTTTTTCCAACAGTTTTATTGGCAAGTAATTTACATACCATATAATTCAATAGTCAAGTCCCTAATTGATGCAGGAAATTTAGTATATATAATTCAATCTAGTTCTAAACCAAAATAATCAAAACAATTCTGATTCACAGGAAAAGAGACAGGTTGGGCTAAAAGAACAAGGGGTCAGGACTTTGTTACTCATTCTCACTTATTCATTGGGCCTCAGAATCTCCTTTTACAAGGAGATGATGTGATATAGTTAACTAAAATCCACAGAGCACTTGAAATTTCTTAGAAAACAATTTCTACCTAAAATAAAATTGCTACTTTGTTGCTATTTTATGACAGTTCTCTTTTTTCCCCATGAAATTTTCATAAGCAGTGGCATGACTACTATTGGAAAATGTCTTGCAATATTTGGCTCTTCCCAGGAATGGTCAAGAAACTATTCTATACTGCTTTGGTAATACATAATATTGAAAATATAGTCTCTCCATTTCAGATTCATATGAAGTCAAATGAATCACCAATCAAGCACAAATCCATTTAGACAAGTAATCTTTAGAAATGTATGATCCTAAAATACATTCCAATAGAATGGTTTCTTTATGGATTGTCTCCAAAATGTCAATGAAATATGTGTAGAGAAAGTCTGGAAATAAAACTCACATCCAGAGAATTCTGTTGTGATTGTTTTGGATGTCTTGAGTGGGTACCAATCTCCAAAGGTCCTGAAAGGGTCTCTGAATTTTCTGGGCAGAACTGGGATCCAAAGAGGAACTGGGAATCACTGAGAATGGAATAATCACTCTGATTATTATTCCAATTAGATGACTTAATGGCTCTGAAATAAGATGAGAAAAGATAGGTATATCAAGCAGACAAACATCCTGAACAAATGAAATCGTTAGCGAATCACAACTATTCACTCCAGAGTAG